TGTGTGTGTGTGTGTGTGTGTGCTGGGTTTGGGCTGCATCCTCGGGAGTGCCTGTGTCAGTGCTGTGAGGGGGAATGTGCCCTTAAAATTGGGGAGAGACTGTGTGGATGGGGGAGAAGCTGCTGTAATTTAGCTGGAAAAGACGTGTAATGTGCCGTGGGCTGGAAGCAGAGAGCACCAGAGCTGGGAGATCCTGCAGTGACAGGGTGTTTTGCTGGGGATGTGCTAGCAGCACCCCAAGGCTGCACAGCAGCCTGGCTGGAGGAAACAGCTGTGGCATGAGAGGAGGTCAGGGACTGAAATACCACAGGGATGGCAGGAAGGGCTGGAAGGGAAGGAAGACTCACACCCCTCTGGGAGATGTGGCCTTGGGAGGGGTTTCTGGGACACAGGCAGGAAGAGAGCTGCAACTCTCATGGTGGACTGTGTGCACCAAGATGTTGCAGGGCAGGAGGGCTCCAGGACAGGGAGATGGAGCAGTGTCCCAGCTGTGCACCCTGCCTGGAAGGGCAACAGCCAGGAGTGAGGAGCACCAGAGAAAAGCTGGAACCTCTGGAGAGGCAGTGAGTTTGCTGGGTGACTCTCCTGGCACCTTGGGGGCTGCTCAGCACCCCTAAAGTCACCTCCTCACAGCTCTGACTGGAGCAGCTCCCTGGCAGCCTCCAGGTGAAACTGATCCAGGTCTTGGGTGAAAAGCACAACAGCAGACTGGGAATCCAGGACAACTTTCTTTATTGCTACCAGAAGGCTTTCATCAGTACAATGGCTCTGGATACAATACCTTCCTCAGGGCTGTGGAGAGAGCTTAGTCGGGACAGGGCGTTCTCAGAACGGGGCACGTGGGGGACACGGGTTGAGAGCTCAGACTCTTGGTTAGAAGTTACATGAACACAAAACTTGAGGGTTGGGGCCTTTTGTTTTGGTTTTGTGGCTGATGATGACACATGTTCCAAACCTCGGGTGTCCACAGCCGCTCCAGCACCCGAAAGGTGCAGGGAGAACCAGGCTCTGCACCAGGAAAGGGTTACACTTGATGGACAGTCAAGCACTGGTGAGAATCCACACTGGGTGACACTTCAAAACACTGTTTTGGTTCTAGTGATAGAGAATCCAGTGGCTGCTTTCTGTGCTGGGCAAGGCAAACTGGTGGAACTGGGAGATGTCTCTGTGCCAGGCACAGAGTGGTGTACTTCCAGAGCACCTTCACACTCCCGTGGGCATTACTGAAGTGTGGAGCAGCTTGTGAGTGCTGGTTTGGGGTTTTTTTCCCTGCCTAACCTTTTATTTCAATCCAGTTTTTCAGTATTATCACACTTAAACACCCAAGTGCTAACAAAACAAAAGAGGCTTTTGTTTAGAAGGGCAAAAGAACACTGTGGTGGAGGTGGGGAAGGACAGAATGTCATGCACGAGACTGGCTGAGAATTAAAAGAGGAGCAAGCAGAAAGGGAGCAAGGAGCAGGTGGGAATGGGATCAGAGTGGGCTGGGAAACCCAAACAGCTCCACAGGCTGCTGTGAGCTCCGGGATGTGGAGAACGGGCTACAACACACAGGAGAACAGTGCAACTGACAACACTAAAAAGGAACAGGTTTTCTTGCTACTTTTTTTTTTTCGTTTGGTTTTTGGGTCTTTTTTTTTAAGCTTTTTATACTTTTTTGTGTTTTTAAGTGCTTAAATAGTGGAACTAGAATTAATTAGCCGCACGAGAAATAAAATCCAAAAAAAGGGTCGGGATTTTTTTTTTTTTTTCCTGGTTTTTCTTTTTGGCTCCCTTCAGTTCAGCCTGATAAGGTACAGCCCCTTCTCCCCCCGGCGAGCCCAGCAGCTGCCCATGAGGTGGCACAGCTACATGACAGACACGGGCTGCAGGGGCGGACAAGGGGACACGCTGCCCTCCTGCCGCGACACGTCGGCGCCGCAGACTCCCCCGCACACCTCCGGGGCGAGGTCCTCGTTGTACAGGCGCTTGATGCCGTCGTAGAAGTCGTCCACTTCCATCTCCT